CTCTTCCGATCTACTACGACGACTACTACTACTACTACTACTACTGCTACTATTACTACTACTACTACTACTACTACTACTACTACTGCTGCTACCACTACTGCTGCTACTACTACTACTACTACTACTACTCCTGCTGCTGCTACTACTACTACTACCACCACTACTACTACTACTACTACTACTACTACTACCAGTACTACGAGTACTTCTACCACTACAATTAGGATTGTGACCACGACCACGACCACTACGACGACGACCACCTATCCTGCTGCTACTGCTACTGCTACTACCAAAGCGACCACCAGCACCACCACTACCACCACCGCAACAACCCGTGCTTCCACGACATCCACGAGCACCCGTCCTGTGACGATGACGACTATTGAACGAGCTTGATGAGTATTGCAACTTCGTGTAGTTGTTTCTATGGCTAGTTGAGATTGCAGTTTTCCTTCATGAATGTCTGGTCACCAGACTTCCATCGTTTTGCTCCGTGGCTTTACCCGGGTTCAGGTTTGCTTGAGCTTGTGTTCCGAGAGGGAGGTGCTTGGCACATGATCTTGACATTCACTTGCTTGCAATTGCATATGTGCAAACTTCAATCTTCCTGTTGTCCTGGCTGTACTTCATTACGTCACCCTGTGATGCGGCTCCTGTTCGTACTTCTCCCAAAGTCTACCGCGTTGGCGTGGTTGCCGGTTGCGTTTTTTTAGCATGTTTATCGTCTCCGTCGTCGTCATCAGCGTTGTCGTCGTCGTCCTGGTGGTGGTTGTTGTTGTGGTGGTGGGGTGGTAGCAAGTTCCGTCTCTGTCGCGCGTTTCGGCATGCCAGGAGGGCTCCGAGGAAATCGTCGAAGAACTCGGCAGTGGCGAGCTGTACCCCGGGCACCATCGTTTCGGATTTAGAGTTTTTAGCGTTTAGGGCGTATGGAGAGCATGTCAGGTTGTAGTAGAGATTGCCGCTGGAGTGTGCAGGGGCTTGCTTTTCGAGCTTCGCTTTGCTGCGTTGCATTGCTTTGGTACCGGGCCTCTGTAGCATTGGTCATTGTCTCGCAGTTTGTTGCCTCAGTCATCACCCAGTTTTTGTCGGTAGTTTGAGGGGTATCACTGTGCTGCTTTTGTGATGTTGCCAACGGCAATGATGAGCAATGATGATGATGAAGAAGAAGAAGACTATCATGATGCTGCTGTTGATGATGGCGACGGTGACGATGATGATTTTGGTGGTGCTGATGCTGGTGCCGGTGCTGGTGCTGGTGCTGGTGCTGGTGCTGGTGCTGGTCTGGATGTTGATGACTGACGGCCCATCGTGATGATGATGATGGTGATGATGATGATGATGATTATCATCGTCATCAGCAGCAGCACTGTCGAAGTCTTCTCCGTGGGTCATGGTTGGAGCGATGCCATGTTTCTGCTTTTCGATGTCATGAAGACTCTCTAGGACTCTGCTGGTTGCCTCTGACCACTCGTTTTCTTTCAAGGTTTGTTCAGGCCTTTCTGAGCTGTTCGAGACGTTGGGACTTTGAAGAGGTTAGCTCCCCTCTCCTCACCGCACTGTGGGTTTGAACCACGGTGTGGAGCTACGGTTGGGGCTTGGGACCAAGGTGCCTCTTAAGCGGGTGTGCGTGCGCGAAAGGAGCAGGAACTAGTCACTAGTCCTTCTGCATCATTTTACTGAAATGTAGTTGAAGTCCGAAGGTATCCTCTACCGCTCAGTCCAGGACAAGAGAGCCAGAATCCGTAAGCCTGGAAGCTAAGCCCTAATTAAATCTTTACATGGCACCTAGACTTGACTCCGAAACAGCTTGTCATACAAAACCCTGGGCAGTCGCGCTCCAGGCTCTGTGCAGCTGCTTTGACACGAGCAGTGCTGGGATATCCTTGGATCATCCCCCATCCCCGAAGCACCTAGACGAGAACACAAACTCTGGAGCATCGATGCTGCTATGCTGTAGGGTCAGAGCAGAATTTTCAAGAGCAAGCAACAAGACGTGTCTTTGAAGGCCGTTCATGTCTAGCACCCTGTCCAGAGAGTCTCATTCCTCAACTTGTTAGCCTTAGTTCCGTTGTTTCGACGGGGTGTTGCAGAGCTGCCAGGTTGGAGGCGATTGGAGAGGCTGCACTGGAGGTGGGGCCTTTGGCGTCTTCAGATCCCATCTAATTGCCCAACCTACTCACCGACCTACCTCTACTTACCTACCTACCCTACCAACCCACCTACCTCCCTCCCTACCTCTACCTACCTACCTACCT